TTATGCGATTCTATTAATGCGCGAAAGAAAAAAATGTATATACTTCAAGAATAGGAGCCAAGGCTCGGTCGACGTACAGAATGAAAAAGAAAAACCATTATCGAGAAAAGAGAAATCCCGGAACCGAAGAAATATTTCTATAATTCAAGGAATAACGACGTAACTCGACTAGTCCTCAAATAAATCGTCGCGATTCCGTCGAAACGTCCAGTCTATTCCAGACAAATGATTACTCCTTTAATTATGAAAATATTTCCCTGGTTCGATGAGACGTTGATTTTTCCTCGAGGTGACCGACGTATCCCAGGAAAAGATCCCCGGGTTCCCCATAAGGCACTCCCGAGAGAAAATTCGATTTCACCACTCGTCGAACTCTGGAATGAACGTTGCACGGAATTTTCGGACTGGGTGGTAGGAATTCCTTCCGGGTCCCTTGGAGGGTCGAAAGACTCGGAAACGAGGGAATTCTTCGGTCCGGGTATTAAATCGATTGCCATTCTCGACTCGAATCGTATCGTCGCACCTCCTAGGAGCCGTTTATCCCCCCGCCCGGATGCGGAAGCTGCGAATCGGCACTCCGTATATTCGACGATCGCTTCTCCGCGCGTTCGCGATTTCTCTCTCTCTCGAAAAAAAAAAATCCATTTCCGCGTCGAAAAGATCGGCGTATCGAGTCGCGTGACGGTTCCTCGGCGATAATTCGCGACGCAGGGCGTCGGAAGCTCGCCCTCGCGTGGGCCGCGTGCGCCCACGTGGGCAGGCGTGCGCGTGCCGCAAAGTTTCCTCGTTGACTTCGCGCAGGGGCTTTCCGACGTCGGGGACGCCGCGGAACGGCCGCGCGCCCGGTGGAGGGGCTCACCCGGGTGTCGAGGGTAAGGGCACGACGCTGGGGGTGGAGAGGGGTGGGCGAAATAAATATAAAAAAAAAAGAAACAATTTCGAGTCACTCGAACTCGCCGGCAGGAACCGCCGTCGCGGCGGCGCATGATCCAAGATGGCGACGCCCGCGGATTTCCGAAACGATCGCGCCGGCGGCGCGTTTACCAAAGATGCGGACGAGCCGGAAAAATTCAAAGACGATGCCCGAGAAGATCCACCCCGACCTAGGGTCGAATTTCCAGGCGGACTCATCCCCCAAACTGAGAAGAAAAATTCATCGACCCGAAGAAACGTATCTCCGAATATCATGAAAAAATTAATTCTCTTCTCCGTTCCAAGAGCAATTATTTCACTCAAATGAATTCCGTCAATTCCGAATAAACATTACATCCAATCTCCTCGAGTATACCCGAGTGAAATAATTGATTCCTCGAGTCGAGGAAATATTTCCTCGGTTCGATGATACTTCTTCCTCGGTGCCGCACTAATTGCCATTCTAATTAAGTGCCGTCCATACTCCGCTTACGTTAGGACCCCAATTCAATCCCGAGGTTTGAGCAAATCCGAAGGATGGAAGATTAAGAAGAATGCCGAAAGTTCGATCGTTTCCGCGTTTATACGCCCGCCACCGAGAGACCTCGAGTCGCGGTCCACCGCACCATCCGGGCCCGCGGAGGTAGTCGCCTTCCCCGGAGAGGAGTTGCCCCGGACGGATGCTGGAGGGGCATGTCTCAGGGTGCGGAGGAAGAAGGAGCTCGATGCCGGGTCGGTAAGCGCGTCGGCCGAGCCGGGCCGCGTGCCTCGAGCGGAATAAAAGCATCAAGGGGAGTCTCGACCGGTAGCCGTCGCGCTCCTACGGAGCCGCTGGCCCTCGTGGGAGTGAGCTAAGGGAAATCAATATCTCACTAGGTAGAGCGAGAGAGAGGGATAGAGAGAGAGAGAGAACGGCCGCGAAGGAGGGGGCGCGAGCCCCGCGATTACTCGGCCGCGCGCGCGCGGGCTCGACTCGAGCCGTCGCGTGGCGTCGCGTGGCGTCGCGTGGCGTCGCAGGGTCGGAGGGGGATCCGTTACCTAGTCGCGCGCTCGCGACTCCTCCTGGAGGCGACCGGTCGCGGGGGAAGACGGGGACGCCGCGCACCGGAACCAGCCGACGCGGCCGCTTAGCGGCAACTGGCGACGCTCGGCGTCGGCCACGCCGCGCGAAGGCGAGCGAACCCGAGCGGAGACGCTCGAACTCGAGACGGGCGAAAGTTTCGCCCGGCTCGGCGTCGGCGTCGGCGGGCCCCTCCCCCTCACCCCGGGCGACAAGTTTTCCCCAACTTTCGCGAGCCCCCACCGCCCACCGCCGGCCGGACGACGCGAGGCGTCGCGGCGGGCCGCGAGGGCCGATCGGCCGAGCCGCGAGGATCGATCGACGCCGAATCTCGACCCGCGACGCCCGGAAATCGCTCCCGGACGGCCCGAGGCGTCGGGACGCGGCGCCGCGCCGCGCGCTGACCGCCCGACCGGCGTAACAAGTGGACGCGCCGAATTTCCCGGCTCTCCCGGCGAACGATCGATCTTCTCGACGTTTCAAACGATCCCTCGTATCGAATGACGATATATCGCTCGTCTCAAATGCGAATAATCGCGCGGGGGGAACGAGGGGGCGGGGATTTTCGAGAGTTTCGAGGTCGAGATCTCGAAAGCTGGGGTGGCCCTCCGGGAGGAGGAAAGAGCACCGCTCGGTCGATAAACTTTTCTCCCCGACGTCGTAATAACTTCGGGGCTCTCTAAATGCCGGGTATAACCGTAATAAATAGTTGTTGGAAAGTTTCTGGACGCCGCGCCCCCGCCTCCCCATCTTTCCCTATCGCCCGGTCTAGCGCTCCACGACTCTTAAAGATGCCTTTCATTGGGCTCCTGTTGGAATCCGATCGATGCCGCGCTCTCTCGCCTTCTCTCCTTCTCTCCTTCTCTCCGGGGCTTTCGTCGCGACGCCGAGCGTCGCGTCCTCCGGTTCCCGCCCAGTCCCGCGCTTTCCCACCCCCCGGCTCCCGTTTCGTCCCGCTTTCGAGTATCTTCCTTCGGGAAACTTGTAAACCCGCCTCCGTCGGTTGCCACATCCTCGTTGCTACGAGGAGCTCCCCGCCAGTCGAGGGTTAAATCTCGAGATTGGACTCTCCGTTCCTCCCGTTTGATCGTGCCGACTTCTCGAAGACGTCCACGGTTCTCGTTATCAAAACAACCTTCGGGACGTTAACGAAACCCTTCACCGAATCGCTTCAACCCTTACACTACCACTACGTAGGCTGAAATAAAAATCCTCCCCCCTTGAAATTTCATTCCATAAATTTATTTATATATATATACTTGAAAAACTCCTCATAAAAAATTAAATCTCACGGGCGTCGGGACCTCCCTTATACCCTCCACATACACGTGGTAAAGTCCGAAGCGATCTGGCATACTCGATTTGATCCGAAGTTTCATAAACGAGACCACTTTACGCATCCCCTTGAGATAATAATTAAAAAGCGCGAATCACGGAATACGGACCACGGAGAGGGAGGGAGAGGGGACGATCGCCGATAATGGACGATCGGTCCCAAATCTGGGAACGCGCTCGAAGGAGTTCGTAAACCAGCGTAACGGCTTAGGAAAGAAGCGAAACCCCGGCATAAACATCCCGGGAAATTCGGGGCTGCGGCGTCAGCGGGAAAATCCACCCCTCGGGGCCGACCCCCCGCGAATCTACGCGTAACGCTCCGCCGAACGCGCCGAGGCATCGGCATCTCTCCGCGATTTATCGTAGATACCCACCGACGCTATCTGTCGCCGATTCCCGGTCTACGGTCGGCGTGACGGCAGACGAAATCGATTTACCCCGGCCCGATGGACGCGGACGAGTCGAGATCGCGGCAAGATGGCGCGTCGCGCGCCTCCACCGCGCGAGGGGGTGGTTCGAGAGGAGCGATCGCCGAATTTCCTCGTCCGCTCCGGAATAGCCGCGCGACTGGGACACACTGAACGAGCGAAAACCCCTCGTCCCCACATCTGAGGGAATCTGTAATAAACTGTAAAAAAAACATCAACTTTCACCCCGGTTCTTTACACGCCGCGCGAGGCGATAAATGAATGATAAGAGGTGTCCCCGAATCGAGCGGATTTCCGAGGATAACGAGAAACCGCGGCACACCGACATAAACACCTCCATTAATGTACATACTTAATAGCGGGTTATTTCGATGCCGGGATAATTCCAGGTAAATTACATCCCTGCGATATATCACATTCGGCAACTAAGTTGAATCGATGAACGGTTACACCGCGACGTTACGCCTGATTAAATTATAAATTCACTGATACGGTAAATAATGCAATGTTACCTGTATTTCTACATCTTCCATTTTACGCTTTTCTATGCGAACCTTCGTTTATGAGGTGTGTAAAAATGTATGTTAATTCACGTGGATTTTTATCAGTTCAGTGGGTCGTAAGGAAATCGCTCCGAATTTCGAAGTGCACCGGGATTTAGGGTTATTATCGATAATTCACCCTAAGACCCGATAAACCACCCTCGGCCTCCGTGGAAGGGGGTTAAGTGACGCAAGGTTGCACCACGTGTCCGCCCCGAAGAGAGGCTAGAGCCACGTCGACGTTACGTACCGTTCCGGGCTTTACAAGTCGCTTCGTGAAATTTTTATACGATATACGTGTTACCTATGCCAGTGGAGGGCAACGTATGTCTCGGGACGAACGCGTAGAGGATTCACGGTAGTCGTAGTCTATTTGTGAATACAGTCGGTAACAACCCGGGCATACTCACTTTTATGCGAAATTGACCTTAATAGCGGCTCTAAAAGCGAATCCGAGCTTGTACGAACTTAATGGACAGGTGTCGCCATCTTGGACGGTTCCGCGAACCTATTAGCGACTTTTGCAACGAAGGTGCTCGAGATGTCCGATCTCTTGCTCCGTTGATGCCTTCACGGACTAGCAATGGCGTCGTCGGTAAAGAAGAGAGACGCGCTTCCTCTTTGCTCTCTGCGGTGACGCTACGCCACGGCAGGATTTCGAACTACGAGAGAAAGCTGCTTGTCTTTCAAATCAGAGATGAGTTGAGAGATTCACGGGAAGGATCGAGCGACCGCGTCCTGCGCGACCTCCGGTGGAGGATGAGACGGTTAATGCACTTGCAAACACCGCTTACCAAGTATCGCATGATAGATGTCACATTTCATACTTAATTTTAACGTAAATCCGTTTAACAGATAATATTTATATTCTAAATAAAGCGATGAGGGAACGCTTGTGACAATACTCGGTGACATGGACCCGGCGGAGATCGAGTTTTTAGGTGAGAGGCAACTGGTTGAAATAGTGCCGAATTTCAATAACAGCACGATTCACCTGATCTCCGGATCGTTCGGCCCTTTTCGCGCGGGTCTACCTCTAAAAGTCCCGATATGGTTGGCAGTTAGTTTAAAACAGCAGCAAAAGTGCCGGATAATATGCCATGATTGGATGGAGCCGAATAACCTAGAAAACCTCAAAGAAATGGAGAAAGCTTCTAAGTGAGTCGCTTAACTTTTATATATAATTGGTTTTAAGCTTTCTTGTTAAGTGCCGATGACAATCGTTATGTCTTTTCAGGGTTTTCACAAAAATGCCAAGCAACCACTACATGGAAGAAGCTCAACTGCTTCTTAACGCAGCACCCGATGACATTCCAGAGATAGATGATATCAGAACGATGATAAAGGTGTTCAAATCTGTTCAGTTTTGGTAATACGATTTGCTTGGTCAAATATCGATGCTAATATTTACTATTTGTCATTTTTACATTTCTAGGATATATGGGATATACGAACGTCAAAATTGCGTACGTCGATCGATGCCTTTTTGAAATCCGATGGCACGCATGCTCAATTGGATCATCTAACCCTAATGGAGATCAATAGCGTGAGATCGTTACTGCCTCATGCTCTTGACCAAATGCTACGAATACAATTGGTATGTCCTCTTCCATCCCTGCACGTTATTTATTTATATCTCTGTCTTTACTAAAGTCATCGTGTTTTGTTTCAGAGAGACAACCAAGGCAGTTCATCTCAGAACTCGGAGAGTTCACAATAGTTGATTGAAATAGTGCATAATAAATTTTCATTCGCTTATATCACAATCTATATTTATATAACCAGTTTGTATCATAAATGCATCATTCTTTGATATATTCATCGATACCAGGGTTTCATTTTTAATTCCACTTCCCCTAAAAATGTGCAGGGCTTGCAGTATACTCTACCGTATCTTACACACTTTTTGAAAATGTCGGCACTGCAAGGAGGATAAGAATTCAAGAAAATGCTGACGATCTATTAAGATTTATGTAACTTTTTTTTTTTACCTCTGTACTTCGTTTCAAGTGTTACATACAGTCACTAGCATCTCAATCACATTTTCTCGTTATCGATCCCGAGGATATTGGGGAGATGTATTTACACATTGGTATAATTAATAGCAACTTAGTTATCCAAATGTTGCCCACCGTTTAACATCGCTTTTCACAATATTTACATATTACTTATATAGTACACGGCCTTAGTAATCTTTGATTTTTATCTTTAAGTATAAAATGTTTCCTCGACATTTTATCAAAAGAACATACGTATAAGAATTAAATGCATCGTAGGCTGGTAATATCATTCGCAGTGAAGAAATTTCCCTACGTAAACTTTAACTGCCAACCTGCAATCGACGTCGACGGTAACAAGACATAAACGCAGCGACGTCAATTTCTCGGGGTTTTAACCATTAACCAGAATCATTGTTTAAAATATCATGAACACCTACATTGTCTTCGAGGCATGACAATCAAAGGAGTTCATCCAGTTCGATGTGCACGAGTAGAGTCACCTCGCAGTAAAAATAAATTACTAATGCTATAAATATCATCGAAACACAAAGTAGACGTGTCAAAAACATACAGAAGTATGACAAAAACTGTATACTAGTTGCGTGTGATGTATCTATCGTTTGCGCGGTATGAGTTATCCGATTTTATTCACACGTCCTCGCGGACGTCGATGCAACGTCCTAATCGATCTCAGTCCTGTCGTATATATCATCGTTCCTAAGTACTTTCCTCCATTCAGAGTCCAATATTTACACGAGAAATATTTACCGAACCTATCCAAATGGATGCGCGCAGAGCCCGATATTGCCACGATACAAAATATCGCCGCAAAATGTGACGTCATTGCAACAATGTCGCGCGTAAAGCCTGAAAGATGGTCACCTGGCCACGGGGATCTTTCAGAGATACGTGCGCGTTGCGGCATCGGCCATTATACATTCGATAAAGATTCCTTTAATTCACAGAAATAACGTCGGTCGACCCGAGGGGCCGAGCTTAAACCGCGACGATTTTGCTAGGGTCGACCTTGACTCTGATGAACATGGTGTCGTCTTTAACGAAATGTCGTTTCTTGACCATCTCGTGAGACACGAATCTTGGAAAGCCAAAGCCAAGCGAGTCCGGCTCCCGGCTGGGCCTCTGGAAGTTCTTCCACGTGGGGTCGGGTATGAAGCTCTCGACGATGTTGCAGGCTTTCTCGGCCAAGACGGTCTGGTCGAACATGGTGAAGGACACGCTGTGGGAAAAGGGCCAGCGGAGGAGAGCATCGTATTCCCCGGGTAGGATCTTTATGTATATAGAGATGTGACTGCCCTCGCCGGTCCCGTTGCCGTTGAGGAAGACGGACGCCTGGAACAAGGAGTCGCATTTAAATCCCATTCACTTGGATATCGGATAGCGCTAAGGTAGACGTCGGAGGGTCTAACACCCCCGCCATCGAGAAAGAGCTGGGACAAGTACCTGTAACTTATATCCATATTGACTAGTATAAAATGGTGGACTGACGAGTTCCATGCCTTCTTTGGCCTTCGCCTCGGACATCTTGGCGGTGTAGTCCGTGATCTTCCATATCAGCGTGCCCGTGTAATTGAGCGACAGCTTCCCGATAGCGGATTTCAAGCTGGTGATCTGATGCTGCTGCTTGGTCACCACGCTGCACATCAGGCTCAGGTGCATCTTGGCCGACTCCTCGAGATGCTTGTCCAGAGAGAACCTGTTGCCCTGTTGAAACGGGATCATTTAGACGACCTGCCCCGACCACGGCGACCCGAGGGATCCTTATCGAAGGTATCAAGGGGTCGATTGAATACCTTGAAGCGGCAGCCGGCATCCTTGAAGGTGCAGGACAACAGGTGGGTTGTACAGTGGTCCTTGAGGTGGACCTCGAGGTCCTCCCTGGGCAGAACAGCGGTCTCGCAGCGATGCGGACAAGCCACGGGGAACCTTCCGCACTTGGCGTGGTGAGCTCCAAGAGTATCGAAGACGAACTCCTTGCTGCAATAGCGACAGGCCACCAACCTCTTGGCGCATTCCCCCAATTTGTGCTGGCCAAGGTGCCGCCTCTGCACCTTCATGCCGCATTTGTTCTCGCAGTAGAGGGGCTCGTAGCCGCAGGTACCGGTGTGTTTCTGCACAAGAATAAGATAAAAACGCGACGTTTAATACCACGGTAAAAAAAAAATCGGAGATCAAGTGCAGGACCGATATTAAGCCACCGAGCTACTCGCACTAACAGCCCGATAAAACCTCATTACCTCGAGGGTATGACCGGTGAATTCTTTGGCGCAAAAGTCACACCTCGCTCTCCTCTGGGCACAGGTGTACTTCAGGTGGTCCTCCATGAGGACTCTAGGGATCATTGCGCCGCACTTGTTGCTGCAGGGCACCGCATCGTGCTTGCACGTATTCAAGTGTGCCTGGATAACACAGAAACTAATTAAACCTCACCCGCAAAAATATAAATAATAATCGGGAACATTTTATGCCGAATACACGCGTTACCTTAAGTTTCCTCAGCTCGTCGGACCACTTGCAACCGTCTTTATGATGGATGCAGTAAACGATCGATCCCATTATTGCCTTCTCAGCTTCCAAGTCTTGGAAGTTCTGCAACGAGATAATAAGAGTTTAAGAACTTTAGTCCCGCCGGCCAGTCGTAAATACGCGGAAACGGTTCCAGCCGAGGACGGTCGTTCGGGAATCCGGCGATGCAGGAGAGGAAGAAAGGAAGGAAGAAGGGAAAAAAAAAGAAGAAAGAAAATACCGAGTCCACGTTGGGAACGACGCGGGTGGTAAAAGCTCAAGGGCCACGAATAGACGTGGTTAACCCTTTGAGGTCTCACGTCGCCTCCGAGGCGATTTCAGAAACCCTGGACCGCAAAGGGTTAACGCAAAGCGTTAAGGGCACCGCCCGATACATTTCCGATCTCCTAAACCTCGCCTAGCCGAATTATTTAGTAAGTCGCTCGCACGTCATCCTGGTCATCCCCGGGATGATTACGAGTCCGTGTGACGTCAAGGCGAAGTAACGGACACGGAATCTTTGCGCGTTCCACTTTTCTCTCTCTCTCTCGGCGCGGCAAGTGCGACCCGTTGCCGGGCGTCGGGACGCCTCTCCGAGATCTCTCGACTTTTCCCGCACACTCTTGGGTCTCGCCCTCGAAATCTGGGTCCAAACCAAAAATGATAGAGTCGAGTCGACGAACGGCCAGCGAGCGGCACCGAGAGGACCCTCGTGGGAACCGCGAGACCTTGGAGACGTAGGTCAGGAGAATATTAAAAAAATCCAAAAACGCGAATTTATTTTTATTTTTTTAGGAACCCTGACCCAACGCCCCGTTTTTTGGCGAGACGGAGGAGTCAAGGATCGACCCGGGGAACCACCTCGCACCTTGGAACCGAGTTCCGGGCCGCTCGTCATGGAGTTCAACGCTCGCCCCGAGAGCACGCAAGAGTAACTGCCCGCTTGAGCATTTCGCCCCTGGAAATTCACTGGGCCCTTATCGCGATTGCGCGGGCCAGTACGCACGAATGATCCCCTCAAAGTTCTAGGGGACTCGAAACGGTACGAAGTCCCCAGTTTCGAACAATAAGCCCGGCAAACAGCGATAGAGTTCCAGAGACGGATGATTCAGGGCCGACTGGATTCCCGGAGCCGAAAGTCCGGTGTCACTTACACCGTGAATTCTTGAGAATCCTCGAATGCCTCCCATTGTACATCGCCATCTGCATACGCTCCCCAAAAATAATTCCCTTTGAGCCGCCTTGCCCCGACCTCCCCATGTACGAGATATCAAAGGGTAGTCCGGTCAAGAGAGCCTAGATTCTAATGCTAGAAATCATAGGAACTCCCCGATACATCTTCAGGGTTTTTAAATCCGAACGTCACATGTTACCGAATCCCATGAAATAAAAAACAATCGTTTCTGAAAGAAGGACATCGTCCCCGAGCGGATAGCCCCACGTGCGAGAAGGAGTCATCGCGGGACGCGCCTCCACCCGGAACGTGCGGATCGCGTGACGGGAATAATTCCCGTCACCTCCTTCACGGGGTGACGTTTCGATTTCGGCGTGTCAGGGTTTCCCATCCATGGTGCCCCCCTGGTAGCGGTTGATCGTGAAAATCGATCGACGGTGGGCGGCATCCTTCAAAGGCCATTCTCCGTAGAGCGGATTTCGATGCGATCGATACTCTTCCACGCAGTATATATATATATCCAGGTATATGCATTCATTTTACCGTGCAAAAAGCATTTCCAGAGCCGGGGCCGAGAGCGTTCGCCGCAAGATGGCGGCCGGTCGCCTCCGGAGAACGCTCGGAAGCGACCGAGGCCATCCGTTTCGCTGGGTTCCCACGCTTCCGCCGTCGTCTGGCTGGCCTCTCCGCGTCTCTCTCCCTCCCGCGGCCGGGCCACTCGGTCGGTCTCTCTCGCTCCCACTCGGCCCCTCGTTCGCCGCCTCGCCGGGCCGGCTGCGCCCGAGGATACTTTACACGCCGCGCCAACTGCATCTCCGGCGTTGCACCAACTACCGACGCATTGTCACTCCCCTCTGGGCTCCCCCCCGAGCCCAATTAAACCGCGAAGGCGCGTTCGACGACCCGGCATTTTGCATTCCCCGGGAATTACCGATTACCCGAGTCCCCGTAATAAAGAAAAAAAAAAAATTAAAAAGAGGAAAGAACAATAAAAACCGACTACCGGCGAACGTCGACTCCGCAAAGTGTCCTCTCCCGGGAACCGGAACGACCACGAGATCAGAGGTCGGCCGGTTAATCTGTTCTCTCAAATTGTCCCGTTTCCCCCCTCTCCTAGATCCCCTAAAAAATCCCGGGCCTCTTGTCCCAATTTTTAATCACGCCCCGACAGCACGAAACCGCAGAGCGACGGCGCCTCCACCCTCTCGGAAACAAAAGTATTCATTGAACCGAAGAAATAATTATTTGACTCCAAATGAATTCCATTAAACTGGATGCGGCATTTCGTTGTAATTACGACGATTTCTCCGAGTCGACTGATTCCTTACGTAACCAAAATATTTCATTGACTTAATGACATCTATTTTTTTTTTTTTCTCTCTCTCGGTGCAGTGCACCAGTTGACCCGACACCCTCGTCGTCGTCCACGGGGGACGAGGAAGGAACGGCGATACGAACAGGGAAGTGCAAAACCGCGAGATGAGAGCGAGGAGGCCCTGGACTGGCCATAAAACACGGATATACATCGCGTGCCATCTGGCCGCGCGGCCATATTGCCGAATCGCCCCCAAATTGTATTTACACAAAACGAGCCACGAGAGGAGGACGTTTACCGTCCATTGTGCCCCGATGGGGTCGCAACCTCCTGGAGTGTCTCGAGACATCCCCATGGGCCACCATGGGTTCCCCTTAACCGAGGATATCTCCCCCCAAGCCTCCCTTAGCAGTGCACCCCCCGCTGCGGTTTCATGGTCTAATCAATGGCCTCCCCCACGCTTTAGGCAATCGGCACGTGGACGTGTTTGCCACTTCCAGAATTGGTAACAAAAACGCATCACGGTTTTGGTTTCGATTTCGGTTCCGCTTAATAACCGGTTCCGGCCATTTAAAACGGCGACTTAAGCCGGGCAAGGGAGATAAGGAAAAAAAAAAGAGAGAGGAGGGAAGGAAAGAAGAAAAAAAAATAAGAAACGGAATTAATTACGGCGGCTGCGTTTCTTAGAGACAATCGCCGGTCTGGCTGACCCTATCGCCACGGAGCGCCGAAATTGAAGCGAGGTGTACGATGACAGTTTTGCGCTTCTTTCCTCGTTTGTTCGTTTTTTTATTCTTCTCTTCTCCCCTTTATTTCCTTCGTACCAGTTTAACCGGGTCCCGGTAAAACCTCTCGATCGTCTCAAAGGTGAGAACAACAAACTGAAGACAACCCGACTGTACTGGGCAACGGTAGGTCGGGTTCTAAACTAGCGTAATAACCGCCACTGTACCCGCCATTCTTCCTAAACGTGTCTGGATCATCTGCGGACCAGTAGAAAAAAAATCGAGCACCTTCCTCGCCGCGTCCCGACAAATGGAGTTTATCTTTATACGGTGTGCGAAAATTCAATCAAAGCAGTCGGAGGAAGTCCCCCGCCATTGCCGCGACTCGTGTTCCCGTGCCGCGTTGGGGATTGTCAATATAAAAAACAAATTAAATTATTTCTCTTAAATGGAAAACCGATACATAGAATTTTTTAGGCGTGACGGAAGCCCCGGAGAAATTCCAGACTGCCTGACGGTATACACAGGGGTTAGGTCGCAGGGAAAAAAAAAAAGAAAAAAAAAAGGACGAAAGAAAACGACTCTCGATTTTTCTCTTCCCAATGGCCCTAACAGATGTACCCGGTCACGGCCTTTAAATTTCAGCCTCGTCGCATCTGGGGGCCAGATCTCTCTACCGGGCTCGAGATCTTCGGGTAAACGAGTGGCGGAGAGCCCAATCCTTGTCGAGGAAAGTGGGGATCGGAAGTTTGGACGTGTTTACGTGATCGGAGTTTGTCAACAGTCGGCTCGAGAGATAAACCTGGAAAATCGCCCCCAAAGTGAGGGGGCCAGCTGATCGGATTCCCAAAAATGGCCAACACGGACCGATCGACTCGTTTTATAAAGGATAAATAAATATATATATATTTAAAAGGACATCAGAAATGAGAAAAAAAAAACAAAAGGACTAGGCCCGATATATTGTAGACGTGTATGAAACAATGAACAAAAGTGGAAGACCCCGTCGTCGACAGGGTCCAAGAATGGTCGAAAATCGACTGAACGTCCATTCATATCTGGCCCTTATCAAGTCCCTCTCACAAGCCCAAACCTTCCGGTGTGTTAAATATTCCATAATTCAATTAGTCCAATTATTACAGCGCCCAGCCACCGTTACCCGGTGAAGGTCTCACATCCGATCGAGGCCATAAGAATAAAAACTAAAACATTGCCCTAAACAATGGCCGCAACCCTAACAAACGCCATCGTTCTCGCCGCTTGCGGAGCTTTACAACCGCGCCGTTGCAGTTTCTATACATTAAGGTCTCGCGAAACGCTTTAATAAAAGCGCCGGCACTTAAAACTAGGGACAATCGGCAGGGTTTAAAGTATAGGTCACATTGTTACCGAGTGCGTAACACAGAATAAACCCGGAGTACATTGGTTTGCGGTAATAGCGAGTAACCCCGAGTGCCGAAATTACCAACGGCTCGACAGAGAGGAGGGGGCGGAAACGTAAGAAAAACCATGTGCTCATTCTCTGTGGTACAAGATTTTTCCGCGTCCTAACCTCAAATCGCTCATAAAAATCCTCGGGACGGATTCGGGAGTCCCGCGTGGCGTTCTTTCCGGTTCTGCTATGCCGCTCGCTAATTCGGCCTTGCGAAAGACAAATTTCCGGCATGACGTAACCCCTCCTGGAACGCAAGTCGTTCTAAAATCCCAAGGATCGCCTCGACTCTCCGGCCAGGACGACCCTTCGATCGCATAATATCGATAAATCCGTGAAAATCGATCCCTACATTCGCCCGCGGCAATACCTCTCGAAAAAACATCCCAACAATCGCGACGAATAAATTAACGCATTCCCGGGAATTCTCAACCGAGATGAATAATTTTCCCCATCTTTTCCTCTTCCTCCGACAAAGCATTTCATTCGGTACTCTTCGAGGGAATCGAGTAGTCCGCAACTGTTTATAAACAACCCATAAAATCCCTCGCGAAGATTAGGGAAATATTCCGAGAGGTATTCCCGAGGGACGCCTCTCGGTCGAGTTGGAAGGACCTCGGCGAGGATTTCTCGAAAAAGAAAAGGAGAGAAAAAAAATAGTAAAAACGGGCCCGACGTTGCGCGGCTCACCTCGTCGGTGATGATGGGCGCTTTCTCCATGTTGTCGTTGACGGGGCTGGGCGGCGAGGTGGGGCTGGCGCTGGGACTGACGGGAAAGGCCTTGTTCTCCTTGGCGGGCCGCTGGGGCGACACCCTCGCCGGGAAGCTCAGAGTCTTTGTCCACTGCGAGAGACCGCGCACCATCTTCGCGGAGCTCCTGCCACCCAGGGTGAAGCGGGCCCCTCTCGGGTCTCGGGTGTGCCCTCTTCGGCCGGCGCGCCCGGCGCATGCGCCCAGGACCCGGCGGCGTTCGCGGTCTCGCGGCTGCGAGTGTCCTCCGAAACCGCGATCGCGGTACGTTACGAAAGTATACCTCTGCCAATTAATAACGATCGAAGTAACCGACCACTTTGGGGGCGCCCTAGTTTGGAGCGACTGTCGTTTGTTTTCAGGAGAGTTGCGCGGGGCCGCAGGACGACGACCTCACCCAACGGCGTTCCGTGACGGACTGGTCTCGACTGGTCTCGACTCGACCGCGGCGAGAGGTAGCCGAGCCACGAGCTGCGCGCGCCGCCGATTGGCCCGCGCCCGCTCGGCCGGCCTCGGGATTGGTCGGCTCGGCTCCAACGGAAAGAGAGGAAAGGACACAGGTGGAAGACTCGGAGAGGTGACCGCGCGGAGGGAGAGAGAACGACCGATCGGACCGAGACGGCGTTATCGAGCGATGTGGCGCACCCGCCGAGGCTGCCGTGATTCCGGAGCCGATCGGCCCCGCTCCTTGCGATTCCGCTGCGGAAAAATCCTGCCCGACTCTTCCTCCGGTCGCGTATAGAATTTTCGAGAATTTTCGGGATTTCCTATTTTCTTCGGAATTTCTCTCCTGAGGTTATTTCCCTTGGATCTACGCGAGGGAGGTCTCGATCGCGGATCCGGGCCGGTATGCGTATCCGCGAGGACGGGGTCGTGTTGCCAACTGCAGGTTGCCGGGGAAGGAGGAGATTGTCGGGCCTGAATCGAAGTATGCTTCTTGCGTCTTGCCGCACGCGGACAGGATCTAGCCAGCTGCGGCCTTCTTCGACCTTCCCCCCACCTTAGCCGAGCCTTCTGGTCGGTCGCTGCTCGGTCGCGTCCACACCTATACGTGCAGGAGGATGTACACAATGTGACCGGCAACCGGTACCGCCACTCCGATCACCTCGGATCACTCGAAACACGAGGCCCGATCTTTGCATGCTCTCTTTTCCAGATTTTCAAACTCCACTAGAGTCCGTAGAATTTTAGGGTTAACTTTAATCCGAGTTTAATCTCCCCCGATCTTTTCCACGCGTTCAACCCGCAGGTCCGATCGGCGCGATCGCTTCGGTCGGTTGACCTCGGGGCGTTTCAACCTCCCACGACTTTCTTGGACATTCCTAGGGGGACGTTTTTTTTCCCTTCCGTCCTTTCCGTTAATGGATCGCCCACGTGTAAGTCTCTCGCGAATTCGAGGACCGCAAACCCCGCGGCATCTTTTTATCCGGTACCTGGAATCGGCCGGAGGACGTAATTAATAGTGCCGGTTCCCGGCTAGACGATATCCCTCGCATCGATTATACCCTAACCCCCGAGAACGTATATCGACCGCGATAGAAGTCTCGTTGATAACGAACGATCCAAAAATCTCCCTCGATTGCTAATCACCAATTTAATTCAATTTCATTTTCTCAAAGTCGCCACTCAGAGGGTCGGGGGGATTTTTTAATAAATTCGAGAAGGGTCACTTAGCGATCTCCCGGGGTCCTGGAGATGCTTCCGGGACGACGAGGGTCCCGGAACCGATAAGGGATAAGGGATACGAGATAAGTCCTGGCCCGGGCCTCGACGGACAAAGAGAGACTCCGCGTCGTTCTTTCCAGGTGCTCGCCCCTCTGGAATAATATCGAAAAGGTTGCAGCTGCTGTGACAGCTGCGGCCCTCCGCGTCTGGCCCGATTCGAGCACCCTCCTCCCCCGCACCTCCGCCCTCCGACCTGGCCCTTTGTACGATCGATCCACCCGTGGATGCAGGACTTTCGAAAACCAACTGCAGCCCCCGGGATGGGTCCATTGTCCCTTCGGGGCCCATCCCTGGCCCATCTCGCGACTCCTCCCTTAGAGCGTCGTTCGTACCTGCATGTGTCCATAATCGAAAGAGGGTAGAAAATCCCTGAATCATCGTTATCGCCATTGTCCAAAAAATACACAGGACGTCCGCTATCGAATGAGGGTAGAAATTCCCTGAAGGACTCGTTATCGCAATTGTGGGTCAAAATACATGACGGGGGTAGAAAATCACGGATCGATCGTTATTTTGTTTTAAAAAAGAAAAAAAAAGATGCTGAACGAGGGTAGGAAATCAGCGAACGATCGTTATCGGCTATTAGTAGAGCTCGCCATGTTCGCTTCCAGGGGTTAGGAGGCCTTCGGTCGATGGAAGATCGAAGATCGACCGTCTCTCTCTCTCTTCCGACCCTTGGCATCGAACGGGATGGAATTTTTCCTTCGCCGGTCAGCTGCTCCTCGTGTAAGTCCGAACTTCCTGTGCCGCGGGCGCGCATCTGCTCCGACCCTTCGTTTCGGCTCCACCGGGCTCGTCTTTCGCGGCCTCTCTCTTATCCTAACGCCTCTTCGAAGTAGGCCGTAACTCCTGGCGTAAGGTCCCGAATCCGACGCGGAACCCTCGGGAAAATGTGCCGAGAATATCGCCGCGGGAACGGGAGGAAAGTGGAGTAAGATAATGGCGGCGCGTTAACCTGTCGCGACACCTACGAAGCCGCGATCGGTTGAGTAACCGGCCATGGAAACACGTCCGCGCGCCTCTACCTAGAGGGGCGTGCTCGCCTCGGAAAACGGCCAAGTGAAAGGATAGAGACCCGAGTTCATCTCGAACTGGCGAGTCGCAACCTTATCCGCGGGTCTATGCGCGAACGGCGAATCCGAACTCGCTGGAATGTCGCGACTCGGGCCCTAAGAGATGGCTGCTGCACCGCCGGACCCCGGAGCAAATGGGACCGAGCAAGGTGCGTTTCGGAAAAATTCTTGCAGCTGTCACGACAGCTGCCGGCTTCGGCGCTCCAGGTTCGATCTACCGAGCCGAATCGAATCTCACCTCGAACGAGGCGAAGACGCGAAACGGCGGGATCAAATACCCCATGGAACCGATTTTCAACTTCACGGTTTCGCGTACGACTTTCGAATGCTCAACCAATCCCGTGAATCTATTTCTATGAGAAAATAATTCCCGTCGAATAAAAAATCCGAAGGAATTATAATATCATTCTACATAGAGTTATATCCTGTTTCCGCGTCGCTCCTGTACCCATGTCAGGTTTTCCTGGATTTTCATCGACACGAAGACTTCGCGTAAAAAACAGGCTCCAGCAGAGAATCCACCGAAATTAGTAAAACAACTCGGTAATGATATGTAGAGATTACGTAAATCGTTGAAATTACGCGTTACCAGCGGCGGTGATACCATCGAGCATGGGGTTACCGCGTTGGAGAAAGTCGAGGAAGAGGCTCGAGAAGCTACCGATTCTTGAGGCCGAATCGGCCTCACCTCCGACTACTCTAGGAATGCACTTTCCTGAGATTTTCATTATTTTTTGCTCCGTTTACTCATTTTTTTTTCCTCTCTATCTTCTGCGCGGTAAAAAATGGCCGAAGTGCCGCGGCGATCCTTCCGAACGCTCTTAGCGGAATACTTTCACGATGAAATCGTGAAAAGGTGGCGGATCGAGTTGAATTATGATATTGCGCCTTGAGCGCGCATGCGCACGGTCAAGAGCGGATGTAAATGTTTCCGCGTAGCCATTAACGGCCTATTCGTTTCTCCCCCGGGGCGATCGGGAATCGCTGCACCGGCCTCGGCAGAAATAGCGAGAAGAAAGTTGGACCGGACCCTCAGGTTATTTACGTCGGGTTTCTTCACTTCCGGGGAACTTCCTGCGTTTCCGCGCGTTGCAGCGCTAGCGATCGCCGTCCCCATAAACGAAGCTCGATCGGCCTAGATCGATCGAATCACCCTTTAGCTACTAAAGGCGCCCGACGTTTGGTCCAATATCGCCTGCACGGTCAGACGAATTTCGCCCGTATGTCGAAATGGCTCCGTGTTCAAAGGATAACTCGAAAACATCGGTCATGCTCGCGTTCCGAAGGTATAACGCGGGGTCCATTAATATACACGATGTGCCATAGGACGTGACGGGAATTAATTACAGATATCGCGCTAGCGTGACTGGTATGGGAAGTCATCTTTAATTCGCATTGATGCGATGCTAATTCCATTCCGGTAAGAGCGCCTTTTAAGGCCTCGACATAATGTCCAGTCGTCGACATATGCTCGAACTGCCGATGGCGAGGGAAAAGCGTCGGCAATCCCGGGGGCAATAAAAAAAGCTCTTCCACGAAAGCGTGTCCGAAATGATCGGTATTCATGTATTCGGTTACCTCGAATTTTTCGAAGGCCTCGCCATTAATAGTCGCGGGCTAACCGAATGTCAAGGAATCCCCGGTTAAGGGACCGGGTTAAGGCGATACCATCGGTGGGCACTTTCCATTTGATTTTCAAATCGGAACTTCGATGGACCCCGGGGTCACGGGTTGACCAATGATCTCTTTGGGAAAAGGTAAAAAGCGTCGCCAGGAGGTAAATCGACAAATGGGGTCCCAGGTTACTCCACATTTCCAGGGAACGACGAAATGATAGAGGAGCCGAGGAGTCGCCCACTTCCAGGCTAATCTAAGGGGGATGTATAATGGACAATTTTCCTTCCGTTAACAGCGTGTAAATCGTCGAGCGTGTCGGGCTAACAACGGCAGTTCAAAAGGAGCGTCGAAAGGAACAAGGACCGGAAGTCGGCGGGGCCTGGGACCTTGAAAATCCTCGAAATAAGGCACCGTGACGACCTGAGACGCACCTAGTGCCACCTTGGATATATCTTTAATATCTCGAATGATCCTTAATCAAGGATTACCCAACGCGTGATTAAGATCAACCACCCGATTTCGAATTCTCATCGACTATCTTAATCTTCGATTAGCTTAATTTTGCTCGGTGCAAAAAATTTAAATTAATCCCCCGATTTCATGTTACTAATTACAACCTGAGTCCAGTGACATTTTTTTCTCAGTGCAGTACACTCAAGATGAATTGATCACAATTAAGAAATGTCGCACCGATGACGAGAAGAAACTGGAGCACTCACCGTTTCCTGCTCGGCGGGCATTCATCCTAGGAGCGTGGACGAGGCAGGACGTCGAAAGGGCGAATCTTGGGGTCGAAGAAAAACCAGGGGGTGTTACTTCGGTCGGCGGCACCGCCACTTCGTCAGGACTCCTCGCAGGTCGTCGGGGTAACGCCGGTTACCTGGTCACCCAGGTGTCGTGCGCCGCTCGCTCCACGCTCGGCGAGTACTCGACGGAGGAGGCACGACGCACGTCGCGCGCGTACTTAGATAGTTATAAAGGCAGGTGGTACGGTCGACAGGTGAGCGTGGCGG